TGGTGGTGGCATTCGGGGTTCGGAGTCCGGGGCCCTGAAGTGCGTTTCAACGGAGGGGAACACTTAGCAGAATACGTCCCAGTGATTATTGGCCGTGATAATGATCGAGTCGCTGCGAGTTGTCTATGGCGTGATTGCAGGTCGCGCCGTTGATCCTTAGGCCATGTGGTGCGAGGGTGGTTATTAAGATCGACCGGTTCCATCTCGAGCAGCGCGCGGGGACCGGGCTTAGAAGGGCACAAAATCCTTTGGCTTCACAAAAGAGATGCATCGCTGACGGCAACGCGGCGAGTTTTCGTTCCTGTGCGAAGAACAGATCGAGAAAGAATCAGGAGCACTTCGACTAGAAATTCGGAATCGTGTCACGTTTGAGCGAAACGCGAGATACGGAATATTAGATATTTCTTTGTATTTTATATTAAATCTTTGTTTCACAAAATTCTTTTTTTTTTTTATAACAAACGGCAAGTACCTCGTAAAATTTGAAATATATTTTATACGTTAAATTTTATTAGTTTGAATATTGTATGACATCTTGTAATTTATTGAAAAGAATCATATAGCTTACATATTCCTATAATGTGTGTCTTTAGTTTTTCTTCCATTTGGACGTATATTTTTCCACCGTTTGTCGATGATTTTCGGACTCTACGTATTCTTTATTTTGACATAGGTATTTAGCTCGACGTATTTACCCTCGAGAGACAAAGTAATGGGTCTGCAATTAGGCGCGAACGATTAAAACGGGGCCTTAATTGGCTGTAGTGAAGGCTCCTAAGAGAGATTTGCACTCTTCATCCCTCTTCGCGCGTCCGTCTCTCTTCGCCTTCTCTCATCGTCTCTTCCTCTTCGCATCTACCCTTCTCGCTTCGTCTTCACCAGTCTCGTAAGCGGTTAATGCTAGGCGATAAATCATGTTAACTCACGTAAGTAGTAACTAGTAACCGATTCGCGTTTGTACGACTCTCGTGAGATATTGGCTATTACATGGAGTTATGGCGAAGATACGCGACCGATCTCCACCCGCTAGCAGCTACGAGCTTGCAAACGTTCTTAGATCACCATGTCTGCGTGCCTTGAAACATATCTGCTATAAGCTACGTCGATAAAAAAAAATGGATGCAAGATTTGATGATGCTGATGGAATTCCAATAGAAATATGCTATAGAGTATAAAGAGACCGATTGATTTTCGTCGCATATACAAAACAAAACATTAAGAGTTTAACAATTTAAACACAAATATATATATATTTTAAATCATCTTATATTATATTATATTGCAACATCACAAAGTAGTCTTTCGTAAATTGGTTTTTACGTCTAGTTTTTCAATATAAGTATATCTTTTGCCTCTTTTTTTATTAATCTACCTAACAACTAGATATGCCATCCAGATTCAAGCAAATATTTTCGATCAAATATCTATAATCATCTTCAGCTTGCGAATTTTTTTCTTTCGTATTCACTAGCGATTTTTTCCTGCGTGAAGTTGCGTTGTGCTTCGACAATTACTGTCACGCAAAGTTACATAATTGGTAAATTGGTCTTTCTACGTCTAGTCTTCCAATTTTGTTCTTTGTTATAAATCTACCTAACAGCTAGACGTGCCATCCATATTAATGAAAATATATTTTGAATCAAATACCTATAATCATCTTTAGCTTGCAAATTAAATAAATTCACTTTGTATTCACTGGCAATTTTTTCCTGCGTAAAATTGTGTTGTGCTTCGACATTTCAATTTAATTTTTGTCACGCGAAGTTATATAATGAATAAATTGGTCCTACTTCGCGTCCAATCTTCCAATTTTTTACCCTTTTTTTTATGAATACCTAACATCAGCTAGACATGCCATCCGTATTCATGCAAATATTTTCGATCAAAAATGATCTTCAGCTTGTCAATTAAATAAATTTTTTCACTCTGTGTTTACTAGCGATTTTTTCTAGCATAAAAAATAATGAAGTTCGTTGTTTTCTCTCACGCAAAGTTATATATTCGCGCTGCAGGTTATGGATGCTTGAAAATTATATTTAATAGAAAGATATAAATTAGCATTTGTTTCAAAGAAATGTTAATGTCATCTGATGTACGGATAACGAAAGTTTTTATGTTAATTATTTCTACTTAATTTTCATATTTCATTCGCTCTTGTATATTTATATTATCGTGCGTAGGTGTCTGCCATCGTCCACTGACCACAAAATGTATTCTTAAATAGCCACGGGGATAACAACGTCGTCTAACGCAATAATTTACGACGAACTAAAGTACCGCGAAGACGCTTTTATGCGAAACGGGAAAGGGCGCCGGCCGATTCTCCCGAAAGGTCGAATGCCTCGGCGAAAAGGCCCCGCAAATTACGCGCGTTTCGTCGCATTTTATTCGGGTCGTGTCTTTGGGCAGGCCCCCGGGTTCAATCCCGGGTCGGTGATTACGGATTTCTGGGTTCGAATGGCCAGGCGACTAGGAACCGTTCCTGTGTGTATATACTAATCTCTGCCGTCTTCTACCAGGACGATGACGACGACGACGACGACGACAACGACGGCTGCGCGCCAGGGAGGAATTGTCTTAAAGCACAAAATTGCACGTATGCTAAGTGGCCGCGACTCAAATTATTATTATCATCTTCTGGCCACGGAAACTGCTCTTCCGAGAATGATTACACGCGGCGGTGGTCGGAGACGCGCTGTGTTTAATCATTCCGAGGGTCGTTTCGCTTTTGTGAGCCCTACAATGAAGAGCAGCTTCTCTCCTCATTTGAATGTGGTTTGGAGATTGCCAGGGATGCGCAGTTCTTTGTGATGTCGTGATATCTCAGATACCAGTTTCCTAAAAATAAAATCTTGCGCAGATAGATCAATGAATAACACAATGATAGAATAAAACGATAAGAAAACGAATATTTTAGATTTTGTAACTGATGAAATAAAAATTTTTAAGTAATGCCTACTTCAAATTGACCACTGAATTTGCCAATAAAAATAATTTAAAAATAGTACTGTGTATTATATGTTTAACAAATCAATTTTGTGCACATTTTAATAACATAAATTAAAATTAATTATAAGAAGCTGTATATTATTGAGGCTATTTTTATTATGCTTTTCGTATTAAATTTTTTGTAATTCAATTTTTTCAATTTAATTTTTAACATATCATTTAAAAAATGTTTAGCAAAATACATATAAATATATAATACTGTAACGGAAAATCTTACGAGGTAAAGAATAAGTGTATGAGAACCTCTGTGGAAATGATAGAGTATACAAAGCAATTGGTGCGCTCGAGCTTGATTGGTGGTGATTCTTGTAATACGTTATTAATTTGAATACCTCGTGCGTGATGAATTATTTAACGGCGCGATTAGCCTAATGCATCGTCGCACATCCTTTCTTTCTAAGTTCCCTGTTTCTTGTGCATAAGTGCGAAATCACTTGTTCGTGATCCACGGAGATTTATCTTTCTATCCATCTCTAAAAGCCCGTTTCCGTCGATTTATAATCACCGTTTCCGTTGAAAAACTCGATCAGTTCTAAGAACAGACGAGCCTCGAGAGTCAGTTTATATTCACGATATTTGCGACATTATTCCGTCATACTTTTAATTGCGATTCGAGCGAGGAACTCGAATGAATATCTGTCCTGAGGCGTACTGAGGATCCTTTCTGGCTATAGGAAGCATTATAACAAGTAGTTATTCGGAATCCTAAAAATTCGAATTAGAGCCGGCCATCGTCAAATATCATCGAGCAAACCGCAATAGGAACGTAGAATTAGCGAGGGAGCGTCGCACCTCGGGGGGCATTCCTGAAGAGCGCGCGAAAGCACAGCGCGCGGAGCCACGATTTTGTAGGTGGGCCCCCGATAGAACACAGAAACTACATTTATCCTCGGGGACCCGGGTAACGTGTCCGTGGCTCGTCCCGGGTCCCGAACATCGCGCACCGACAGTAATTAGGGCTCATAAGATGGCCCGCGGTGAGGATTTCGAAAAATCCCGAAGCGCCAAATCAACCGGAATTCGTCGAATCGACAGATGGTTCCGACAGACGCACAGGAATTCCGTGGGTGGATCCTCGCCCCGGGGACGGCTTCCTGGGGCACAGGATTAGGTCCGGAGATCACGAAAACGGTCGTTGCGACGCGACGGTTGCCTTTCGCCTTTCTTCTCTTCGCGCCGACTTCGATGAAGTTCGAGAAGTTCACTCCGAAAAAAGACGCGTATAATATAAAATATATTATCTTTACATAATTTTCACTTATCTTTTATCATATTATTATTCATTCAACTTTGGCTTCTAAACTCGATGCTTTTCAAATCGTTATCATTCTGTATACATCTACATAAAATGTTTTTAAAATGTATATAGACCCTTGAAGTTTTCATGTCCATATTTTTTTTCTTACGACGCGACTATTAGGAAGGACTATTCCGTCCTTTTATAGCTTGAGGTCAAAGAAATTTATTTCTATTCTACGAAAATCGTACGATCATACATCGAGAATTTTTTACCTGTTTCAGTTTTTAATCGGCAAACGTGATATATTATAGCGGCACAGTTTTTCCATAATCAATAAAAACAAACTCTAAGCGCCAAAATTGCCGGTCTTCTCCATTAAACGATTCTCATTAAAATTTTCGAGACTAGAACGGTTTACACTCGCGATCGAAGTATCTCTACTTCACGGAATCGGACCCATAGAGCGCCGAATTCGGCGCCACAGGTAATACATGCGGGTGGAAGATTGCATGATTACAGTCATTATGGGAAATTTATAAAAAATCGAGCTTTCATGGCGCGTATATACAGCACGGTGTACGGGCCCACACGCCGACGTAATTTCTTTCTTACGGGGGCCTCTAATCGGTCCGATTACCCGAATTTCTGAAAAACTGGCCCGAATAAGATCAGCGGCGGGTCTTCTGATGGAACTCTGATGAGTTCTTTTGGGTGTGTGTGTGTGATTTTAGTTATCATCAATACAACCATCTTAATAACGTAAATTTTATTGTTTAAATTAGACGTGACATATATCGTATCTACAAGAAAAGTACAAAGTTATAAGTTATGCCATATGTATATATAGTGCGTTATGCGGTAATACTCGAGTATGAGATAATGAGTTTTTTTTTATTTTAGAACGTTTACGAACTCGTTTGGATATATTGTGAAATAAGAGGAGAGAGGAATTACTGCTGTGGGAATGTGAGGAGGCGGATGGGGAGGAAAAGAGCTCACGAAAAAATACAAAAATAAATATAAATCGCCGAAAGCAGCCACGACAGAAGGCACGATAAATTGCTACATGGAAGCAGATGAGTTGCATTGAATTGCTATTAACAAATAATCGCTTCCGTCCCATTCCGTTTGCTCGCCATCGCCATTCTGATCTCCTTTCGTCAATCATTACAAAATGCGTGGAAAAAGAAGTTGTTACACAACAAGATACGAAACACATTCACAGAATTGCTAAAAATTGAGTTTTCACGAATACATAAGTATTTCGCAGTTCGATCATCTCGACTGTCTATATTCATGAAATTTCGAATTTCTGTCAAAGTCATATATTGTAAACTGAGCGACAAAAAACAATTAAAAAACGAATGATATATTCGTAACAATTTCATTTTATCAAAAAGTCTTTTTTCCTACAGGAGGGAAAGTAATCAACTCTAGTAAATGTTATTCCATGCGATCTTGTGAATGATTGAACGTGAAAGATCATGAATTTATTTAGCAAGCGTTTAACTTTAACCATCCTATTCACCCGTTTTCCCTTTATTCTGCTTTCACTACCTCTTATACTTCTGTAATATCTCTTTACCATTCTCCTTGAATACACTCGCGATCTTAAAATACATATGATTTGTCCGTACGCTGAAAAGATATGCTAACAGGACAAATTAAGACTCGCTCTTAACAACGTTGACGTCGAAGTAGGGATAAAACAAACAATGATATGGTTGCATCATCATCACCCGACAGATTAATGAGTAAATCAAAGGATTCGCCGAGTTCAATTGCCGATGAACGTGTATTTACAAAATCTTCGTCCCATGTTCAACCATCGAATCGCTACAATCGATGAGAAAATTGCGCAAAGTGACGCGCGCTATTCTCTCCCTCTTTTTTCTCACTGTTTCGCTGTTACTGCGAGCTTTGGCGATTGCGACAAGCAACTTAAGTCTAATTGTTAGTCCTTATGACTTTATATTACTAAAGAATACTATCTTCTTTGCGCGAATCGCGTAAGCTTAGTCACGTGTCGCGACGAGTCGCGTAATTGCTTGACGCTCGGATAAATTCTCTCGATTTATATTATTTTAGTCCGTAAAAAATAGCGATTAGTATGAGCGTACGTATTATAATTTCTTTCGCAAATACAGATGTATATATATAATATATATATATATCTACTATGTACTAGAACGCGTGTGTGTATATTTGGCTTGTGAGTTGACATAACATGAAGATGGAAGTATGAGCATCTATGTAAATTAAACGCGCACGCGCGCGCGCACGTTGCAACAATTGTGGCAACAAGTTTTTGCAATGAAACAAGAACAAAGTAAATCGAACGAATATTTCTACTTAAAACGTTGTGAAACGATGCAACGATGCGATACTGAGATGCGAAAGTAAGAGAGCGTTTAAAACTAGAAATTAAAACGTCCTCTGTACAGGAGCGTGAGTATTGTATTCCTAAAATTTCCTTAACTAAGGTCAATGTATCTACAATACAGGCGTCTCTGATTATAACGAAATTATGTTAAAGAAGAGACCGGGAAAGGGGACATATTGCATCGCGGTTCTAATAAGTACGCGTGCGTAATTCCTGAAAAAAAAAAAAACATCTTCGAAATCTGAAAACCTATATATTCTCGTGTTGTGCAAAAGAACAGATATTTTAAATCTCACGATGTATATTACGATCTCACTTCGCGCAGTTGTAAAACAATGTCGAAGCGAGGGATCGTCCGCAGTCTTGTGACTCCCGATATTAAATTCATAGCTAAAAACAATCCTACCGATGTTTGTCCGATATCACGTGATTTACGCGTTCTTTACTCCCTAGCCCGAGTCTTCAAAGCGTGTTACGTTTTACTCATTTAAATGCTTTACTCGTATCAATGCATTACGCTGCGAGTTTAATGACGCAGTCGTTACTAAATCAGAGTTTTAATTGGTCATTTAAAAAATAATTAATTGTGTGCAAATATGCAAAAATATGTTAGAATATCATTCGAAATTTCACTTTTTGCAGTTATAATATCTATGCGATTATTTACGAGTCAAAATTAAAGTCTGAATCTTTTGTGGAATCAATTCAATGTAAAAAAAAAAAAAAACAAGTCTGACAATATTGTCCAAAGATGAATTGTTACGTTAAAATGTCCTTAAAGAACAGGTAAATAAATAACGGTGCGTTATCATGTCGGGCCTTTAGACAGGCGGTAAGGCCCACAGGGTTGCAGTTTTGTCGGCGGAAGTACTGAGAAACGAGAACTCCGTCGGATGCCAACGTCCGGAGATGACTTTGTCCTGATGTTGAGCGACTACGACGCTAGGTAGAGGCATTGTAAGATCGCCTGCAACATATTCCATCGTGTTTCATGTTATACTTTGATTGTTATAACACGTGTATAATAGCGATAGTATTAATTTTTTCAATACCGTCCTCAATATTTCTAATAATTAAAATCAGTGAGAAGCACCCACCTTGCAAGTCCGTGAGTACCAATTTGTTGTCGTATCCCGCCGTCAATAAGTAATACGCCGACGGTGAGAATCGTATGCTCCTGATATCTGCTGCGTGGGGTTTGAAGCACTGCACCGTTCTGCCGCCGCGAATGTCGAAGAGAACGCAGCTGCTGTCTTCGTGGCCGGACACCAACAGTCGGCCAGACGGATCCACGCACAGCGCAGCCACGGGACTACCGACCTGTAGTGGAATCAGATGCTGATCAGACAAACGATACTGCTTCCACTCCTGACGACTAGAAGTAGCGCCCGATAAAAATCCGATTTAAGACAGAAAGTAACTAATGCTGTGCAATCGGAAGAGATGACGGTGCGATTTAAATAATGTAAATCGAATATTTATCGGACGTAGAACTCAATGTGACATCAGAACGAAACAGAAAGATGTTGACGACGCAAGGATTCTAAACAATTCTATCTGCAAGATTCCAAATAAAAAAAATTTTTTTTAATTCCATCCATTTTGATTTTCACTTTTGATGATCACTAAGAACGGATAATATCGACGGAGAACCCGACTCACCCGGCTGCCAGGTACCGTCGCAGGTGTAACCATATTGACGCAGCTTCTCGTCCTCAGATCCCAGAATCTGACTGTTTTATCCTGCGATCCGCTGACGAACATCGCTCCGCCCCAGTTGTAAAGCGTCAGCACGTGGCCGCTGTGGCCGCTCAAGGCTTGGAAAGGTGTACCGGTCGTGCAATCGGTAACGTAAATCTTGCAATCGCCAGCACCACCGCTGATCAGAAGGCTCGACTTGTTCGACGTGTCCTCGAGGAAGCACAGGTCGCGCACTGTACCATCGTGCATAGTCAATTCGACCTCTTGCCCTGAAAATTGAACGCAAAAAATACAGAATTAATAACGTAAAGATAGTGAAAAATATTAATTGTTATTATTAATCAGATAAATCCGATTAATGATAATAAACTAATTACGTATCTTGGTAATGTAAATTTCTAAAGTATAAATTACTGCTCAATATCTGAAACATAGGCTCTAGCAAAAATTAAAAAATGCAAATAAAGAAATTTAATATTTAATTTACCTGTTCGAATAATGAAAAATTTAGAATAGAAATGAGCCAAGTTTATAATTTGTAAGGTCTCTCACTTTTTTCCTTTTTTTTTAATTTTAAATGAATATCAAGATTACATCTATATTTCCGGTTAATAATAGTACCTTCGAGATTCGACGTATCGGCGTTAAAGCGCATTAACTTCACAGTTTTGTCGTTGCTTCCGGTCGCGATCAGCCGACCGTCCGGTGTCCACGCGAGGCAGTATATGGAGCCTTTGTGATGCTTCGTTCTCTTGAAGAGAACGGTAGGTTGATATGTCTGATGATCCTCCCTGAAAGAGAAACACGCAATCCTGTTACTCCAGAATTAAACACGCGATGATAAGCAGTAAACATTTCGACAATTCGCAGCAGCGATAAATCATCCATTTAAAAAAGGAGATTTCATTTCGCTCTGTTCCACGAGCCGCATCAATCTGTCCCAAGGTGAAGAAGAAAGAATGCTCGCGCGGGTTCTCGCGGGACGTCACTTTCATCGAGCTGTTTCCCTTCCTCGTTCCCAGCCTTCATTAACCGCGTCTCTAATTGAAGCCGATATCGTTGCATATTGTGTACAGCCGACTGTACCGCGAGATTCGAGGGAGAGGCTCGATGATCTTAAAGAGAGACGACGCACTGCCGCTTTCACGACGCCAGTTTTTATGCAGATTTTAATTAAGCGCAGCTCTTTTCCCACCACACGCGTAGCCGACGCGTGTGAGATTGCGATCGCTTACTCCTCGCACCCCGCTACATTTGCTGATCAAGATGTTCGCTCATAAAATCTTCCCCGTTGTTAATTATTAATTCGTCCCTCTGAGTCTATTCGGCTTGAGCGTGACGCACGAGATTAACGTCACTTCTGCCGCAATTTCCAGCGAGCGCCGAAGGGGAACGACTTTCGAAAGTGACGATACGATTATTCGCAGAGGCGGTTTCTCCAGATAATAACGACATAATTGGAGAAGAGGTTCGTATTAAGTGATAAAAGTGTGATGGAACAAGTGAATACTGCGCCTATAGTTATTTGAAAAACAGGATTAGCAGATGTAGTGACATTCGAAATTCTCTTTTGATATATATGTGATGAGAAATTTTTTGCACAAAAAAGCTCTTATACTGCTGAAAAAATTCTAAAACTTTAAATTTAATTTTTCATTGATTCGATCAAAGTTCCATAAGTCATAATAATAATTATAAATGTGAAGCAATTATAAAATTAAGTCTTGCTATAAATTTTAAACTTGATGAGTAAAAATAACTCTCTTGGCCTTATTTATGATGCATTTTGCGCGTCGTTTAAGAAATCAGGGGATAATTGTCAAAATTGAAATGATACACTATAAATGTCGCCAGGAAAGAAATCCATATTCCTAGTTGCTTCAGCAACTTATATCTAAATATTCGAGGACTAACTTTTTTTATATTTTGAAAGTTGGCACAGAAGGTACAAGAAAAATGCAAAAAAGTAGTGTCAACAAAAAGTAGAAATTCATGTTTCAAACGACACATGTAGAAATATACTTTCGCTTATCAATCGAGTGTGTGTGCGTGTCATGTTTGCACAATTTACAGTTAATTATAATTACTATTATTATTAGTTTTCACATTTCGTTTTTTTAGTATATTTTTTCGCTTGTGTTACCTAAAATTAACTGCAAATTCTCACGAGCTCGAGTATTTGAGGAGTGATTTATATATCCGCTCTATTTTTTATTCTTCTAAAGGTAAATATCTCTTTTACAAATTACGCCAGCGGTACTTGCCGACAGCGTTGCTCCGATCGGGAGCACAAGTAATGAAACCGCAGACTTACTGACTACTCTGCAATACAATGGCGTAAATGTCAACGGCGTTAAGTAGGTGATATCTCAATTTCAAGCCGAGCAATGGGATTACGTCGTTCTAATTGAACAATCAGTCCTCTCGATAGTCGTGTTCTCCTCCCAGACCTCCCGTCGCTCGTATCAGCTCTGGCTTTTGCTCCGATCGCAGCACCGAGTGCCGCGAAGAACAATCTCCAAGTAATTACGACATCTCGTAATTTTACGTAGGTAATAACGAGTACGTGCGTGTCGTTAACGTTGTAATTGCAGCAGCGTCTCGAATAGTGTAGTCGCATTCTTTGGGCACTATTAAGCGGATTTTACGAGCCGTTTATTCGCGCGTCTTATTGTTGCGACGTAAAGATACACTTAAACGGCGGGTGCTGAAGAGACGCTCCGTATTCGGTGGCTATCTAAGCAGCAATTTCGAAAGTTACGCAAGACGCACGCGTATATACGTGTCGCACTTTACATTTTGCCAGTAATACGGATAGGTATAAATTTTCAGCGGCGTAACGGTAATATATCTCGCGCGCGCGCGCAAACTTTCTCGGCGCCAACGCCCGCGAGAATCGTTCCGCGCACGGAACAGCCGGCAGCGAACGGAGCAGAGTACGAGGCACCGCTCGCAAACGGACAAATGGAAATTGCTGCGCGTTATTGACTTTGGACACAAATTACAGCTCGTTGAACCTACCGGAACACCGTAATACAGCGTTAAATGAGCACTGCCGTGAATTGTGGACGGGATATTCTGCGAGTGAAAGGGGACCGTTCGTTGTCTACCTTGCAATGCAAAATGGACTGTCTTGAACTATAAACATAATGCTACCTCAAAAAATGAAACTACAATTCCTACGCGCCGTGCAAGCATGGATTTTTGCCTTTTTATTATTCCTAATTATTACCTCGTTATTTATTCATCCGCGCGACTATTTTACGTTCTCCAGCTCTTTTTATTACGAGCTGACGTTACTTTCTATAGTCCATTTCCATGTTTTTTCTCGTTCATTGAATCTTAGAAATTGGTTTCGGAACTAATTTGAACCTGCGCGAAAATTCCCGAATATTTTCACGAATTCTCAACTTAATGCGTCTACAGTTGAAAAACAATTAGACTCGAGAAAAATCATCGTATTAAAATTATGCGGAATTGCTCTGAATTCGCGGCTGGGTGTAAATATGATGGCAGGAAAGATAAAAATATTGCGTTTACATCGCGTTCACGACGATGTAAACGGAAACGACGTGTTACAGCATGGTAGCCGGTAATGGAAAAAACTGTACCGGCAATCCACATTCGCTGAACACGCAGGAATGCTCCGTTTGGCATGAAGGCCTCTGCCGCTCGTTAGGCCAACACACCCGCGTAAAATTAGTTTAGCCGACGCGAATTTATACTTGACCCACCTCAAATTTACATACGGCGAAGCTCTCTTGTTACGTACGAGCGATAACGAAGACTTGTCGATTACAATTAAAATGGCTCATAATCGTATAGAATTATGCATGGCTTTCTACGGCTTCAACGTTAATTTACGTATATCTTTTCTTAAACTTCAGATTTTTAAAAAATGCAAACCAGCAATTAGCAACCTTGTTTTTTTTTAATCATTGATCATGCATTTGAAACGCACGAGAGTAATTATATCCTTGGAACTACGAATCCCTGTAAATTAAAGAACGCTATCGCACTCGACGAAATACTGATCATTGCCAACCTGTTTTCTGTCGATGCAAATTCAAGCCTGAAAGTTCAGCATTGGCAACGAGAAACAAGTCTCGATATACGAGTTTTCGGCGCGTGCGTTAACATTATTATTATACGTGCATTGCATAGGCGTACATTACAATGTAATCTCTTCAAATTACAGAGTTCACGAAATTTGCGATACCGCCAGGCTCCTTTCCTCGCGGGATATCTAATGTAAGGGATATCTATTGCAACGTGGAAGAACGCATTTGATTAATCGCGATCTCTGTTCTAATTACATCGCGGAGCGAAGTTGCGTTGATATTATCGCATCAAGATGATAGATAAGCCCGCTGCTTATTGAATAGCGTGACGCGTTCCGCTGTAAGAGCCGTGATTTCTCTCGCGCTTCGCGCCGGCATCCTTTTTTTTCTTCTCCGTGGCGCGCTATCTCGGGATCCGAAACGTGTCCACCACCCGGGTAAAAACAACGCCAAGCTCGGCTGAGCAGGATTTATCGTCGCCACGACAAGCGGGCGAATTTCAGTTCGCGAAACGCGCTTATCGCGGACGTGAAGTCATTTCGCCGTCGACGATCCGCCCCGCATTCCCCAACGATCGGGATCGGCTTTTAGCCGACTCGTAATTTACAGTTATTTTCGCCGAAGCCGCCAAAATGTATCACAACTCTCGCTGTCTCTCTCTTCCTCCCTCTCCGTTTTTCGCGGAAGCGACGAATGTATAAGTTCATCCGATTTCTCCCGGCTTGACAGGAACCATAACGTATTCCCCGTCGCCTGTCTCAAGGTTTTTCGATAATCGCATAATGCGAACCCATTCGTTAGCTTTGCGTAAGACCACTGTAACGATATAGTATAGATACGGCAATTCGTCGACGAGCGCGTATTGGAGGCTGTCATTAACCATCGCGAAATGGCTTTACGTCGCGACGTCGAAAGGCTCCGTTGCGAGACACGCAGCCTCGAGACAGGCGAAGAAGGCGGCAATGTTACAATCGCGTTATTTCCGCGCTTCGATTGAGTCGCAATCGCAATTGAACGATTTCTCGAGTGTCCGGTGCGAAACGGCTTCCACCCGCTATCATATCGAACTTCCGTCGCCAATACAAGATGCATTTCGTAGAAAGTTCGATATATCTATATTAGTAACCGATTATCGATGCATACTTAAGTGGTAAATAGTGAAACCGCTTTACTTATAAAAACATTTTTAACTGGCGGAATATTTATGGAAATATAAACTTTTATAGAGATTACAGATTAATTTATCTCCGAAAGCGATTTAAAATTATTGCATATTACAATTAATTTAATTAGATGGTATTAAACTGTCAGAACATTAAGATTATTTCGTATAAGTTATGATATTTCAGTTTTGATTTTAAAAACGTTTATACAGCTTCAATTAGAATATCTAAAAGTGAAAATATAAACTTATCGAATGAATCCATAAATACGGTACTTAATCGCCATACTTAATTACGTGTGATACTTAATGGAAATTCTCGAAACGTTATCCCATTAAGATAATTAATGGGTGCGCGTAACGAACGTGACTCTTACCTGACATCGTGCAGCTTCGGGTAAGCGCATATTCGCAGCGTCTTCGAATTCGATCCCACGGCGTACAACTTCCCATGGGGGTGAAATTCGGCGCAGCGGATTGCCTGCACGTCCTCCAGGGCGGTGACGGGAACGAAACGCGGTCTACCGCCGCCGTTGCTGCTTCCATTGCTGGTCTCGAGTTCCGGCCTCGGCTCTTGCTGCAAAACGAGATGCGTGATCGTTACTCAATTTGGAATTAATACGCAATTATCATCGTGCGAGCGCACGGAACTAATAATATGCCCGCACGTAGCGCGGACGATTAGGAGTCACGCCGTTGCAGCTCTTGCGCGAATGCACGCGGAAAAGCTACAACTATCGTGATACCTCGTACTGCTCTAACGAGATCTAATGAATGTCTGCCGGTACAAAGCAACCGTTTTTATTTGCGGAAGGGACAAGTCGCGGATGCACTTCTGCGTCCGGTTGCCGCGATGAATATGGAAACGTTGCGGTAAAATGAACGTAATATCCAAACAATATTATTGCACTTGATACTCGGTATTCTCGTTGCTTCCCATCCCCACTTACAAATTACAAGTGTTAAAGAAAGATCCGACGGGAAAATACAAATATATTTATACTTGCATATGTTAATTACATATAGAAATAGAAAACGATAACTTTAAGATTGCTAAAATATTTAAATATTTATTAACAATTCAATATTTAATTAAAAAATAGATGCCAATGTGAGCCAAATACAAATGCAAATACGAATAAAAATTAATAAAATAATAGATAAGTATAAAAAAATATTTGTAAGAATTATTTAGATAATGATTAAATTATGAGAATAATTTTGATTTTTTGAGAGAAAATCATGAGATGTTAATTACATTCTTTTTGATAGTTTTGTGATAATTAACGCTTTCGTTTAATTCTTTCGCCACTATTAAATTTCTTTTGGATCAATTAGTATGCCTAACATGAAGATATGCACATGTTTATGTGTACATAAAGAAATTTCACTTTCTCATTTCGCGCAAGGCGCAAATGATGCGCTCTTCTTGCGCGAGACAGTTATTACTCCGAACTCGCTAAACCAGCTCGCGCATGCCAGCGAATCGAGCGGAAGGCGAAAAATTCAGAAACGCTAGAAAGTTAGACCCTGGATTGAATTTCTACCTCACTAGCTTCTGTGTATAAGCAGTTTATTTACTTCAATACACATGCCAATAATCTTCGGAAAAGTCGTGGTTTTCCTCTCACGTCGACGTTATTAAGCGAAATACATGAGCCAGCACTATCGATCGAAAGATTTTCTATTTAAAAACAAGAAAATTGGCGCAGTTTGTGCGGTGAAATTGATGCAGATCGATAATTTCACGTTGCACATTTTCCACATGTAATAGTCATAATTCTATTTCTTCAACATCGACAGTTAAGTAACTATTACTGTTCGCAGAAAAAGCTCGCAATGTTCCTTGGCGCGAGGCACCTTTTTTCCCTGAAGCTACAGGCCCGGAATCATTTCGCGATTCGTGTTTGCGCAACGGCGCGCTTCGCCACGCTTTTACTTTCGAGCCACGAGATTGGCTGCGACCGTTTATCTAGATGGATAAATTAGCAAAGCAAATGCGCGCTCTGCCCGCTGTTGTTCTCTTCTTGGCAGCAACCGTGCAGCATGGAATTATGAGCGCTCGCGCCTGCGTTATTTTCACGCGACGGCATACGCTTAACGGCGCCCGATGCCGCTTCTTGCCAATTGGAATTGACTTACGCACGTGTAATTAGATCTCGAATGCGTGCGTGACAGGCGTATCAGATCCTCGCGAAAAGATAAGAGGTATGAAGAAGCCGTGAACCGATCAAAATGTTTCCAAGTTTAATCGTTATTAATATAATTAAAAAAAGATTTCTAAGCCACATGATTTAACGTAAATAAATTCCTCACAAACTTATGAAGAATATTTACATCGCGTTATAAAAGTAACGTATAAAGAACAATCAAACAAAGAAAGAGATTGCATTACGAATGGTATTCAATATGCCACTTGTTTCACAATCCCATTCTTGTATGAATAAATATCAATCGCGTCAATAACCATTGTATGATTCATTGATTTCCATCGATAAGAACTGTTCACCAAGTCTCAGTGAGTCAATCCGAACAATATAAGTGAACGGAATTGGTGGGTGAGAATTGGATTTTTAATTGCAATCTTATGCTAATTCAATACCTTTCATCAAGTTGCTTTAAATTGCTGCGAAACAGCTATTGTCGCGTCCAAATGTTATATTTTCGAATGAAAGACTCGATTTTAATTTGACTCATCCTTCAATTCTACTTGTCGATCATCATTATTACGTGTAAAAGGAAATAACAGTCGTGTACTAGACAATTGCTCTTTTGCGAGCAGACATCTCGCAATTTACGAGTGAGAACGGGGTCGATCGTAGAGGGGAATCGATCGTAGATCCGAGAGAGATTCCCATTTCCGCGAAAATTCTGGCGTTCTCCGTACTGGCGATCTCCCGGGCGACTTAACGAGCCGGAAACGTTTCTCGATCGTAACTCTGTCGGGAAAAGCAGATGGAACATCGGGGAAGGCCTGAGAAGCCTAGTTTTACCGATCGGTCAATCAACTCGTCGACCATCGTTATAAACGTTCGAACTTTAATAGCTCTGTACAGCCTTGCGAAAGCATCTGCTACCGACGATGTAGGCAGAAACTTTATAGCGTATGGATGGGTACTTTGGGATGCCAAACGAAAGCGGGACGAAGATGATGCAAATGTGGTTTCAAACATGGTACTGCTTCGTATTCGATCTTTCGATTCTCTGTATAGCAATGAAATCACCAACGAATGAAAGTCTCATCTGCGATAACAAAGCGTTATTCTTCAATAAGATTTCAATAAGATTTTAGGACGATTAATGTCTATAGCGATATATAATAATTCTTTTTTCGTGGTACAAAATATAAATCAATAAAAAAGGAAACTACGAGTTAACACGCAGGACTTGGTGTAAAAAATTTTATATATCAATTTATTTATTATATTTATTTATTACATATTGTTCAACTTCTTAAATCATACGTTTCAGTCCCATTCTTCAGTGATAAATAATAATTAAATAACTTCTGCTAATAGACATCGTAATAATGTACAATTTAGGAAGAAGTTGAAGAATACGTAATATAATAAATAAATTGATACAAGAATTTTTACGCATCAAGTCCTGCGCGTTGACTCGTAGTTACCTTTTTTATTGATTTGAATATAATTATTTTCAAATTAAGAGTCAGATATTTTAGATTGTAATTTTGTATAAATCTAAAAGTTATGATTGCCCAAACAATAATTTATTTATCACAAACTTAAATCGAAACATCGATGCATCCGGATTTAAAGATGATTAATAATTATAATTGACGTCCGCGGTCTTAATCCCTCTATAAATGATCATCTCCTCCGCTCTTATAAGAAAAGGGTGGATCGCGAAGGATCCGCCGGATGCCCTGAAGGCCTTCGGACACGCGTCTCCGATCGAAGATTGGAGGGACGGATCCAACGACGCGTGGCACGATGAAAAGCAACTAATAAACGGGCCTTGACCTGATTCGTCGACTCCGACTTTTTACTTTCCTTGCCATCGTCGCGTCGTTAAAGAACGCGACGTGACGCGCGCGATATTTTACCGCGTGTCGCACATATAAATATAAATTATCTAAATATGCGCAGTATTAATTACAAATTCACACCGTCCTAGATGCGGTCGGCAATCGACGAGTCTCCGTAGAACATCACGACAGCTCGACATTAAAGATATTAATGATATCAAGCGATTTTTTGTTCCGCGGATCGTCGATGATCATGATCGAAATTTTCACTTTTCTCCGAAAAACCGGTCGAACCGGATCTATCCGTGATCGTTTTCGATCTCGGATGCCTAGAAGATATCCGTAGAAACAGAAACACAATTTGATGATTAGTTTAATTAAACAGATAGAAAGGACAAATATTTATATACATATAGAGAGAGATATATTCGATATATTTCGGATAACAAAAATCGGTGAAACCAATCGTTTACTGTATCTGGGTTGTGGCATACTTTTTCGTCGTCGATCGGAATCCATACAGAAATCGAAGGTGCGCATACGCGTGCACGTGTGCCAGGCTTAAGGGTATCTACTCGAGATTCCGACGTACGAATTTCACCGATGTAATTTTAGTACGAAATCATTGTGTGAAATTACGAATGCCCTGCAACCGGGAAGTGAACACGCTCGTACCATCATGTTCTTTACTTTAAAAGCATATTACGTATAATTAATGTGTTCAACTCCCCATTTAGCGCGTTACATTCAATTAATATGATTAATTATAGTTACACTCGCCTTAACTTAAGATTTTTTTTATTAACAAGATACGAAGAATGCGAAGCTATATATATTAAGAAATAATTTCTCTTATATTAATGAGAATAACAACCGAGAAATTTATTCAGATATGCTAAGCGAATGAGGAAGTGAATTAAGCATCGCGGATATAATGCTAAACAATTCTCGATTCGGTGTCATCGGACGAGGAAGACTTTTCGAGAATTAGTGAAATATATTCTTGAGAAATATTCGAAGCGAATTAATGGAAAGAAAAGTTGGCTGAATCGACGGGAGTAGAATGTAAAACGATCCTAGAATTCTGGCGACATTTCGTAAGAGGTCACTTGCAGCCAACGAGTTTTCGCACTTTTTTTGCACCTGCGAACGATAGTTGCAATTCGGCCTCAAACGAGCTTATTAATATATTACACGTAATATTTCCCGACTGGAGACATTTAAATCGACCGGTCATTACTGGATCGTAATAGCTCAAACGATGATATCGGATCGCCGGGTGATGGTTAATGCGCGCGTAAATCTTTAGAATTATTAAAGCTGGCTATTAATTGATTACCCGGCTATTATAGAAGCATCATTTTTATTCTAGGCGAGAGAGAGGGAGAGAGAGAGAGAGAAAAAGTGGGAGACTGTCGAGTGCGGTCTGCGAATGTATCGTCTTGAATTATGAGCGACGTCGCATTAATTTTCTTACGTAGCGGTAATTTCGACTCTCGAGGAAGTTCTCCGTAACTTTCTACCGTATGTACGAAACGCACGCGACGGTGATTATAATTAAACGGTCGATTACAACGTGGCGCAAAACG